AACTAAGATAAGAAAAGGTTTAATAAGGTTTAGCAAAGTTCAGAATATCTCAATTCAGTTCTTACTACAGTATCTGTTTAAGAATTGAAACACCCCATTCACTAACTGGACCCCAAAAGACATTTATTTTAGTCAGTTTGTAGAGTGGCTGAACTACATAACATTTAGAGAATACAAAACATATCTAAATATTTTAGTAACCTTCACCTTATAAAGTCAGTGATATGGTTTGGATTGTGTCTCTACGCAAATATCATGTCAAATTGTAATCCATAATGTTGGGGCTTGATGGGAGGTAACTGGATCGTGGGGCTAGATTTCCTTCTTGGTGCTGTTCTCATGATAATGAGTGAGGAATCCCAAGATTTGGTTGTTTAAAAGTGTGTAGTACCTGAACCCACCTCCTCCCCCTACTGCCTGCTCTAGCCACGTGAAGATGTAACTGCTTCCCCTTTGTCTTCTGCCATGATTGTAAGTTTCCTTAATCCTGCCCAGCCATGTTTCCTGTACAGCCTGCAGAATCATGAGCCAATGAAACATCTTTTCATTAGAAATTATCCAGTCTCAGTTATTCCTTTATAGCAGTGTGAGAACAAACTACTATAGAAACATGATACTGAGAGTAGGGTATCGCTATGAAGATATCTGAAAATGTGGAAGTGACTTTGGAACTGGATAATGTGCAGAGGTTGGAAGAGTTTGGAGGACTCAGAAGAAGACAGGAGGATGACAGAAAATTTGGAAATTTCTAGAGATTTGTTGAATGATTGTGACCAAAATGCTGGTAGTGATATAGACAGTAAAGGCCAGGTTAACAGAGTCTCAGATGGAGATGAGGAACTTACTGGGAACTGGAGTGAAGGTCACTTTTGTTATACCCTAGCAAACTCGGGAGGCATTGTGCCTCTGCCTTAGGGATCTGTGAAACTTTGAACTTGAGAATGGTGATTTAGGGTATCTGGTGGAAGAAATTTCTAAGTAGCAAAGTGTTCAAGACGTAGCCTGGATGCTTCTAGCCTTCTATGTTCATATTCATGTGCAAAGAAATGATGTAAAACTGAAACTTAAATTTACAAAAGAAGGAGAATGTAGAGGTTAGGAAAATTTGCAGCCTGGCCATGTGGTAGAAAGGAAAAAAAAATTTCGGGGAGGAATTCAAGCCAGCTGCAGAATTTTTCATAATTAAGGGGAAGGCAAGTAGTAATATCCAAGACAATGGGGAAAAGGTCCTGAAGCTATATCTGAGAACTTGTAGTGGCCCCTCCCATCCTAGACCTGGAGACATAGGAAGGAAAAATGGTTTATGGGCCAGGCCCAGGGCCCCCTGCCCTGTGCAGCCTGAGGACATTGCTTCTTTGATCTTGGCTGTTCCAGCTCCAGTTGTCCCTTAAAGGGGTCCAGGTACTCAAACTCCTGCTTCAGAGGGTGCAAGCCATAAGCCTTGGTAGCTTCCATGTTGTATTAAGCCTGTGGCTATGCAGAGTGCAATTGTTGAGGCTTGGGACCCTCTGCCTAGATTTCAGAAGAGATATGGAAAAATCCTGGATGTCCAGGTAGAAGTCTCCTGCAGAGGAAGAGCCCTCATGGAGAACCTCTACTAGGGCATTGCAGAGACAATATGTGGGGTAAGAGCCCCCACACAGAGTCCTCACTGGTACATTGTCTAGTGGAGCTGTGAGAAGAGGGCCACCACCCTCCAGACCCCAGAATGATACACCAACAGTTTGCACCGTGCACCTAGAAAAGTGGCAAGCATTCAATATTAGCCCATGAGAGCAGCTGTAGGGACTAGCCCTATAGAGCCACAGGGGTAGGGCTGGCCAAGGCTTTGGGTGACAACCCTTTGCATCAGTGTGGCCTGGATGTGAGACATGGAGTCAAAGAAGATTATTTTGAAGTTTGAGATTTAATAACTGCTCTGCTGGGTTTTGGATTTGCATGGGGCTTATAGCCCCTTTGTTTTGGCTGATTTTTCACTGTTGGAAGGGCAGTATCTACTGAATTCCTGTACTCCCATTGTATCTTGGGAGTAACTAACTTGTTTTTTATTTTAAAGTCTCATAGTCAGAAGGGACTAGCCTTGTCTCAGATAAGACTTTAAACTTTGGGCTTTTGAGTTAATGCTGGAATGAGTTAAGACTTTTGGGGACTGTGAGGAAGGCATGATTGTATTTTGAAATGTGAGAACATGAGATTTGGGAGGGACCCAGGGAAGAATGATATTGTTTGTATTTGCATCCATGCCCAAATCTCATGCTACTCTCATGATAGTCAGTGAGTGCTCACAAGATTTGTTTGTTTAAAAGTGTGTGGCATCAACCACCTCTCTATCTTACTCCCGCTCTGGCCATGTGAAAACGTTTCTGCTTCCCCTGCACCTTACACCATGACTGTAAGTTTCCTGAGGCCTCCCCAGACATGCTTCCTTTACAGTTTGTGGAACCATGAGCCAATATAAATTCTTTTCTTTATAAATTATTCAGTCTCAGTTATCTCTTTAGAGGAGTTCAAGAACCAACTAATACAATCAGTGAACCAACTTCTTTGGTTGTCAGTATCTATCTGGGAAAACCTAAATATGGTTAACATGTAGAAGACATTGAAACAGTTTTATTATTACTATTATTATTATTATTCTGAATTTGGAGGCTGAACTGAAAAAGGCAAAAGATTTGAGAACATTGATTAAGATACTGGATATTGTAATTGATTAAAATCAAGAAAATTGCTACTTTTTTATTTTAGAGAGAGATTACTTAAAGCTAACATAGTAGAAAGCAACAAAAGTAAGTCCCTTTAGAAATAAGTAACCTCTATTAACATGACTTAAAATACTGCAATGGCAGCAAAAACATTCAAAGGTGCATAGTTTCTCAAAAAGCAGATGAATATACTATGACCCAGTTTACATATTTTCACGTCTAACGATAGTACTAGTATCAACAATGTACAACCAGATATTTGAATTACAACCAAACTATCCAACTTTTGTTTCCTTAAAATTGACATAGAGAAAACTAAAAGACAAGTAACTCCAAACTATGTGCTACGTTATTCCATGAGTATACATTAGATATCCACTTTATAATTTTATAGGAACAAAAATAAATTTGTATGTTGACATTATCCAAAATCATTTATACATCCTCTAATCCATTAATTAATGACCATAATATAATGTCTATACATGAGAAACAAGGTCAAATAATATTATTTGGATCTTTTTGCCTTACCTAGAAAGTGTTGTTATGCAAATATCGCTAATAAATGTTATGCAAATATCACTAAATTTGATCTTTACTTAAAGTAGATGTCAGCAAATGAAAGCCAATAGAACACATTCAGCCTATCTTAATTTTTTTTGTACAGACTGTTCTTCTAACTGCCTACAAATTAGGAATTGTTCTTACATGCCCATTGACAATGAGTTCTCATTTGATTTATTAGTTCCCTCTTGGAGTAGTAAAGTATTACAATTTAAAGAAAATTGTCAGTTTTTTTAAAACAGAAAATGATGTCCATTTTTGTACCCATTGGAGGAGCTAATTTTGATAAACAAAAAATATATATAAAGTAGAAACAGAGACCCTGCTATCAACTTAAAATGTTGATCCACTAAAACAAAAGCAGGATTCAGTAACATTGGGTCTCCCAGGGAAACATCATTTTCAAGGAACTGGGTAATTTTATGATTCTAACATATATTTGACAGGTACCGAAGAAAACAATTCTGGTGGTTTATACATTCTCCAAAAATCTTTAAGAGATTAGCTATAAAGCATATGTGATAAGAAATTTCCATGGAATGTATGCCGCGAAGGGTCCTGCATTAAGTTCATGCTAATTAGTACAGATCTTCACAATTTACTGTAGTAACATCTCTCATCAATTTTATATGTAAATTCCAAATTCAATTGCTTTAGGCTAAAATATAAAAAACAAATATTTTAAGATGTAGAAATAATAAAATAATATCTTTATAATAGGTAAAAAAAATATAAGATCAAACATTAATTTACTAGAAATACATTGGTGTATTTCACAAAATAGCCTCAAGAAAATCTGTAAACAGAAAATAAATATTAAGTTGATCTTTCTCCTCTTATTGCTTCTATTATTTTTTCTTCCCTCCACCTGCTGCCAAGTTGCCCTCACTTTTCATTATTGTGGCAAATCATCTTTCTGCGCTTCTCCACATGGTACAAAACATACCCTTTAAGAACTCATGTGATTGGCCCTAGTGTTTTCTCAGACCCTCAAGTTCAAAGCGTGACATAGGTTACTCTATTTTCAGATAAATCTGCCACAACCAAAGGGGAAGATTATATAAATACAGGACATATATTAAGGAAAATTTTATAAATGAAGTTGAAAGAGTACATGTTTCCAGAGCAGTGGATGTTTTGGGAATGTCCGTATCTTTGGCTACACATTGATATGTTAAGACATAAACACACAAAACGAAACAAATAATATTGTTTGGAGTTAAATATACTACTTTTGCCTATATCAGAGAATAGATTTATGAGCTGAATTAGTAAAACAAAAATATTTTTGGACATTTCATAAGACTTTTCCCTCTCATTGTCTAAGGTTTTTCACTGCTGCCAGTGAGATGTTGAATCAAAACATCTTTCTGCAAACAATAAATGATCCAATGTAAAAGAGAGGAGGAAGAAACCATTGCCACCAAAACATCTCTTTGATTCTTTTTCAAAATAATGTAAATGCTTATTTTTTCAAGGAAATAATTTCCCATATGCCAAATATTTAGAATATATAATATAAATCTTTATGGCTTCTTTCATATTGTTGGCGTAAATGTATTGCATTAAGACTAAAAGACAGGGTACCTGAGCCTGACAATCAGTCAAGTATGGAAGTTAAATCTCTAAGTTCTATGCTTGGAAAATGATGAACATTCATTGTATTTTAATACTCAATCATACCCACATTTTGAACATTTTCTCTCTCTCTCTTTTTTTTTTCTATTTCATTAGATTCCCTCCTGTACAAGCATCCTATTTTCTGCAAGGATTTGTTCGGCAGGTAGCATGATACAATGGTAAGAGTCAGGCCTGAATTATAACACTGAAGTTCCCCTATAAATTTTAGTGGTTTATACATCATGCTACAAAAATATCCTATTCTTAATAGTGATGCTACCTGCATGTTTTCATCTCCCTAAGCCTCAGAGTCTTCAGCTATAAAACTAAAATATTCTTTTAATTATTAAATAAGGTTGTTACTGAAACATCACAGGTCTACATCCTGTTGCTCATTGCACAGAAAGCCAATCACTGAGTTAACAAGGATTGTCAGGTGATTTGATTTGGTTGTGTCCTCACCCAAATGTCATCTTGAATTGTAGCTCCCATAATTCCCATGTATTGTGGGAGGGACCCGGTGGGAGATAACTGAGTCATGGTGGCAGTTTCCCCCATACTGTTCTAGTGGTAGTGAAGAAGTCTCACAAGACCCATCATTTTCTGAGGGGAAACCCCTTTGGCTTGGTTCTCATTATCTCTTGTCTGCTGCTGTGTAAGACGTGCCTTTCACCTTCTGCCATGATTCTGAGGCCTCTCCAGCCACGTGGAACCGTGAGTCCATTAAACCTCTTTTTCTTTGTAAATTAATCTCAGGTATGTCTTTATCAGCAGTGTGAGAGTAGACTAATTCGTGAGGGAAGCAGACTTTACTTTGGGTGCTGCACCCAAGGATAACAGGTAATACAGTTTCCCTAACATAGCAAAAATGGGGTGTTTATATAGCAGGGAAGGCAGGAAAACAGAAATTGGGGAGAGGAAAGGAAGCAATCATGAGGAATGAAGTTTATTGCATCTTGTTGTCGATCCAGATGTGGTAATCTAGTGAGTTTCAGTCCCTCACCTGAGGGTTGGTTTACTGGAGCGAACTCAGATGAGATAAATGTAAGTTTCAAGTTTTAAGACAAGGGAGGGGCCGGGCGTGGTGGCTCACGCCTGTAATCCCAGTACTTTGATTTACTGAGGAGGGAACTCAGACGAGATAAATGTAAGTTTCAAGTTTTAAGACAAGGGAGGGGCCAGGCGCGGTGGCTCATGCCTGTAATCCCAGCACTTTGGGAGGCCGAGGCAGGCGAATCACGAGATCAGATCGAGACCAACCTGGCTAACACGGTGAAACCCTGTCTCTACTAAAAACACAAAAAATCAGCCGGGTGTGGTGGTGGGCGCCTGTAGTCCCAGCTACTCTGGAGTCTGAGGCAGGAGAATGGTGTGAACCTGGGAGGCGGAGCTTGCAGTGAGCTGAGATTGTGTCGCTGCACTCCAGCCTGGATGACAGAGCTAGACTCCATCTCAAAAAAAAAAAAAAAAAAAAAAAAAAAAAAAAAAAGGCAGGGGTCGGGGAAGGGCGAGGACAACAAATAAGCATTGAGGCAGAAAGCAGACAATAAAATAATCATTTTATTATCATTAATCAAGAAAAAAAGACAAGGGAGGGGCAATTTCTATGTCTATTTTTAAAGACCTATAGATACTATTTGTATGGGACAATTTGGTTGGTATCAGTATACCCTTTCTATTTATTAATTCCTCCATCATGGGGAATCTGGTTGTCAATCCTTCTGGCTGCTTCTTGCTGAGGAGAGCTGTTATGGGATAATGCTGAGGAATGTAAACCTTACCCTTGTAATTGAAAGTACTCACAAGCACCTGGCCAGCATCTGGCTTATTGGAGCACCATGACCTAGATAGTTTTATCTTGGTTTAGAACAACATATAAAGGCATATTGCCTAGGATGATTAATAACATAGATAAACCAAATTTTAAAATAAAACCAAATTTTAGAATACCAGACAATATGGAGCTGATCCACTGGGGAATCCCAGAGCATAACCCTAAACCTTCCAAAAACTCTTCCTGATTCACTTCATCCTGCATGCAAAAAGCTATGGTTTCAGGAAGAGCAACAAACTGAAAAGCACGTGGCCCCTTTATGATTTCTTATCTAGACTATTTGGCTGGGTTTTGAATACTAATTTTGGTCCTCTGAGGGTTCACAAGCCCATAACCTGTTTCCCCTGGAGGGGTCAAAAAGGGCTTGGTTTTACCTGACTATGGAGAATTCATGGCTTAACACCATCCAACTCGAATTGGAGTCTGTTGTTCATTCAAGTTGGCTCCAGCTCAAGTTGGGTGGTGTTAAGCCATGGATTCTCCATACTCAGTGGTAGTATGAGTAGTTAATATATTTCATCTTAAAGCCAGTCTCCCGTGACTTGGATATGAAGCATATCAGCTGCTTCATCTGGGGTGTTTCACTTGGCATTGATATGTGAAGTTTGGCAATTCTCCTTCTGGGGGTAAACAGATCTTACGGTGGCATTTATCCAATCCACCAGGCTGGCTGTTCTCTCAGAAATAACCTCCTGTGTGTCTGAATTACATATACCCATCTGTGATTGTTCAACAGTGAGCTGTGGGTCCTGCATCAACCAAAACATTCATTTCCATTCTACACCACTGAAAACCAAAGTCAGTGCTCCCAGATTCGTTAGTCTCATAAACCATTTTAGAAAAGCTGATGATACCAATCTACAAAATGAAATAATTTCTTTACATTGTACCCTCTGGTTTCGATAGTTATTTAGTTCTGCCTTTCCCCCACACTGACTACTTTCTGGAAAAGGCAGGTCTCAGAGGTACTTTCTGGTGCTCTGGCATAATTTTTCCTTTTGTGGGTAGCCTTGAGGCTACTTATTTGACCTCAGAAATGTCCATATCTGAGTTAGTCCAGCCCCAACACCCAACTCAGCATTCTCTTACTTTCATTTTAGCTGTTACAGACAACAATAACCAAGGAATTGAATGTTTTGCTTTTTCCTTATTAGTTTGCATTTCCTTATGCATCCTATGAACCAATTCCCTGGGAGTTGAATCTATCTCTAAATTCCATTGGTACCTTTTGTCTTTAATAACTGAATGCAGCACAGCTGCAACTCTATACAATAGGTGTCCAGGTTTCCCACAAGGAATCAAAAGCTAATCTAATAGAAGTCATACTATAGTTTTCTTCTGAAACATAAGTTTTTCTCTCTTTAGTCAGCCATTTCTACCAAAGACAAATTGTGGTAGAATCAATTTATTTGCAATATAAGTTTTCATCTTATCATACTTGGACTAGTTATTTGCATAATGTACAGCAAGAATTATTGTCCATATAGTATCTTTTATATGGGGCTTTGCTGGACTTTTGCATGAAGAATCTCATATTTGACTTTTAAAGGCCTCTCAAGCCCAGGCTAGGATTTATCTGTGCCAGCAGGTATCTGTATGAACTGGGTGAATTCCTCTCTTCTCAAGGTCCCAAAATAACTTAGGGTTTCTGGACTTGTCAGAAAGTGACATTCTTTACTTATCACAGATCCGGAAACTTATAAAGGAACCAGGTAGACAAAATACTAAACCAGACTTTCCAAGGAACTTTTATCGGCACTATAAGTCAACCTCAATCTCTGAAGGCATTCTGCTCATATCTGAGAATATGTCATTCCAGTCAAAGCTTTGGGAAAATAACCAGTGTTTTCAACTGTGTCCTATTACAAAAGAAAACAAATTCTTATTGAACGCATGCAAATAAACATATTGCCATGAATTAAGAATATGCATAGATGATTTCCAAAATTTGGAGAAATCAGGTAGAGAAAGAAAAATATGCATTAAATTGGTTTACAAGAGTATACTCAATTGTTAAAGACTATAAATAGCTCAGAATAAAGAAAAAAAATCTTTTATCAACCCTGAAAAATAAAACAAAATGAATCACCAATGTTTCAAAAAAAATAGTCATGCAAAATTAATTTGGTCCTTTATTAGTTCAGTCTATGCAATTGACTCTTGTCCTGTTTCATATTGGGTTAACAATCTTTCTGAACACATCAGCCTTTTAATTAAAGTCCTGAAAGTTCTCTCTCTAGTCCAATGACACGAACTCCAAAGTTATCAAACACTTGCATTCAACAGTTTTTTTTTCATGAATTTCCCTAAAGAAATAAGCTTGGAACTGTAGCTAACTGTAAGCCACTTTGTTGACAAGAATCATAGTAAAATAATAATTTTGAATGATAAAGGTCTTAGGACAGTCCTAGTTAAAGACAAGCCTCAGGTTAGCCATAATTAAAGATATAATTGACAAGGAAATTAACTTTTTTTGGCATACGACAATAATAATCATAAGTACTGCTGATAACATATAATTAAGACATATCAGAATTTTAGCAATCTCATACAAATTTGGAACACATGTTCATAACATATTTATACAAATACAACCCCAAAGAAAGTTAAACACCATTTCATATTTCACAATGCTTCCTGTATAATTTTAACATACCGTATAAGCCTACTATGCCTCTCTTGGACTTCAGGGGATGTAATATCTAAAAAATTATTTCAACATCCAAAAGACTAAATTTAGAACTTGAAACTTTGATATTGGAAAGTTTGTCAAATATCAAAGGATTAAACACTTACTATCACAAAATAGTATTATAGGTCATTACGAAATAGTCATTCATTTAGCCAAAATGATAATTCAAATATTTTTTAAAAAGCAAAAACCTTTATTCTTTGATAGAGGAGACGCAGTTTCCCAAAGAATAAGACCTTATAAAGACAGCATGTGCCTAACTAAATCTGTCTCTCTCTCTCTCCCCTCCTTTATGCCCCTGAAGTTTACTCGAAAGGTAAACAATAACCTTTATATCCCTTATTGATGTTACATGAACATTTTGTTCAAAAGGTAAAACCAGAATTTACCTTTGCACAGTATATTGTTAATGTTAAAGGTAATTTTAATAAAACCTTATAGGTAAATCTAATTTTAATAAGTTTGACCATAATGTAAGATTTCCTTTTATAACCTTTTACTATTTTCTATTAAAGAAAAGATCAATGCACCAAGAAAACCCTTTTATTCTGATACAGGGGCCCAGACACTGGTCTTGCATCCCTGCGTCTTTGATATTAATGTCTAATTTATAGAAAAATTCTGAACCATTCTTATCCCTCAAAATAGGCCTT